TTCTCCTCAATCTTGAAAACTATGAAGCGGTAAGTCCTTTTAGCCTTCAGTTCTAAAAACTTCAGCTTGCAGTCATCATGCACTGCCATTCCTGATGCTGCATTCGCCTGCAGATCAAATGTAACAACAATAACAGGTAGCAAATATCAAGCAATGACAAACAAATATCCATAAGGGGGAAAAGTCAATGACACTTGGCAATGAGAACTCCTGTAATCATGTTACAGACATCTTATCACTTTTACTGCAGGGATAGACTACGACAATGTTAATCCATTTAATCCCAGGAACCAGCCACCAAACTTGCAACAATTTTGTGGATTATTTCCCTAGTAAAAAACAGTTTTTTGTAAAATTCCTGTTTCTACAAAAATTATTCTTATTGTACCATGCATGTTTATTCCATCCTCAAGCTCTTCTCCATTTTTTTCCTATGATAATCCAAAATAACTTAAGCAATCTCGAAACACGAAATTTACATCTTCAATTTGATTTAACTCCTAAAAAACAAATTCCATCACACAGCAACCACTATAAATTACAGGAAAAATAACTAAAATAAAGTTATTTGATCTAAAAATGGAATCATAATCCAAAGGCTATAAGCATTGAGTATAGCATTGAACACGTAAGGAATAAGATGCAGTCAGAGACGTATGCGTCTTTTCTTTGGATTGCGTAAAGCAAGCTACTCTGAGAATTAAAAAATCAGAATCAAGAACAAGAAATTTCACAAACAGCAAAACCGATTACTTATGATCAGATGCACCAAAATCTCTTGACTAAACCAAACATCAAATCAGATCGAGGAAACCAAAAAAAACTCCAAATTAAACGCCGAATACAGCAACAAAATCCTTATTGCTCAATAAATCACCGGTTATTTGACAGATCGAGCGCAAACTAATAGCAACTGAAGAAAAAAAAAAATAGTCCAGGCAAAGAATCAAAGGTTCGCAATAGACTGTAGCAGAAAAATGAGTGACGAGAGTGCTTACCATTTTCTCGAGAAAATAACAGATGAGAAAGTGAAAGAAACAGCGAGAAACGCAGAGAAAATCTAGGGCTCCTTGAGAGAGAGAAGAGGGATGTGGTAAATGATTATAAAGATGGACTTTATTTTGCGTTTTGGGCTCTATATGAAATGAAACGCTAAGCCTTTTCCCTTTTCTTCACGCTTTTTGGCTCGAGTGAGGTGGATGTAGCTGCCTAATTACCGTGGCGGTCACAGAGTGGAGGGCGGTAAGACCCAGTAACATAGCGCCACGTACCTTTTGAGGTGGAAAAGCGTGCCACGACCAACGCATTTTGGCTGAATCGCGCACCCACTCCCACGCGCTAAGACATTTCCCATTTTACGACTTCGTTTAACTTTTTATTAGTAATTCCATGAAATTGTGTATGAATGTGTAAGAAAATTAAGTTGAAGTCATTTTCTTCAATAATAGATTAATAAAATTTTGTTTTGTAATCTCATTTATATCAAATTATAAAATAAAATTATTAGATGAGAGAAAATTTTTAGTATTAAAAGATTTAATTTTTATTTAATAATTAATATTTATGGTTTATACTACTTAATATAAATAAAATAAAAGATGAAATAAATCTATTTTAAATTTTTACTACTCAAAAATGAAAGGTAAAAGGAAAGAAAAATAAAAACTTAATTAACAGTAAATGCAATAAAACTCTTAGGATATAATAAAATTTTTACTACGCATGATTTTTGGTTGAGTTTTCCTTCCAAAAGAAATAGAAATATCTTCTTAAATTATTTTAAGATAATACTTAATTAACAATAGATACAATAAAACTCTTAGGATTATTTTTTTTTATGGAAAATAAAAACTCTTAGGATTATTAAATAATAAATATTATTTATTTACTTAACCATGTTATAGAGATAATAAAAAATTCTAACAACTCAGCGTTATATATTTTTCTATTTGAAAAAAAAAAAAAGAGAGGAAATGAAAATTGTGATATTGGGCCTTGGGCCCATAGAAAAACACGGGCTAAAAAGCAGAATAGAGAAACGAAGATCCATAAACAAAAGTCAAGGATGAGTTTCTCAAAAATCAAAATCCCTAATTTTGTTCTTCACTCCCGCAGGCGCGTCTCTGAAACTGCGGATGTGAAATTGGGCGGGAACGCAACAACCATAGAGAGCGCCTCTCGAAACTCTCACACAAATCATTCAATCGCTCGGAATTCAGAATGGGGAAAGACGAGGAGGAAATGCGGGGAGAGATAGAGGAGAGGTTGATCAACGAGGAGTACAAGATTTGGAAGAAGAACACGCCGTTTCTCTACGATCTAGTCATCACCCACGCCCTCGAGTGGCCGTCCCTCACCGTCGAATGGCTGCCAGACCGCGAGGAGCCGCCTGGGAAGGACTACTCCGTTCAGAAGATGATTTTGGGTACCCATACTTCCGAGAACGAACCAAATTACCTGATGCTCGCCCAGGTCCAGCTTCCGCTCCAGGACTCGGAGAACGATGCGCGGCATTACGACCATGACCGGTCGGATCTTGGGGGGTTTGGGTGCGCTAGTGGGAAGGTGCAGATTATTCAGCAGATAAACCACGATGGTGAGGTGAATAGGGCTAGGTATATGCCGCAGAATCCTTTCATTATAGCCACCAAGACCGTCAGTGCGGAAGTTTATGTCTTTGACTACAGCAAGCACCCATCTAAGCCTCCTTTGGACGGTGCGTGCACTCCGGATTTGAGGTTAAGAGGGCACAGCACTGAGGGGTATGGGCTCTCCTGGAGTAAGTTCAAGCAGGGCCATTTGCTTAGTGGCTCTGACGATGCTCAGATTTGCCTCTGGGACATCAATGCGACCCCCAAGAACAAGGCTCTCGATGCCACGCAAATTTTCAAGGTACTCTTTTTAATCTGATTTTCCGACATTAGAGTTATAATGTGCTTTTGGGTTTTGAAAATTGATTTGGTAAAATAGGTTCACGAGGGGGTGGTAGAAGATGTTGCTTGGCATCTGAGACACGAGTATTTGTTTGGTTCCGTTGGAGATGACCAGTACTTGCTTGTATGGGACCTGCGAACTCCATCAGTCAGCAAGCCCGTGCAGTCTGTAGTTGCTCATCAGAGTGAGGTAAGTTTGGATGATTTTCCCATCCACTTTAGTTTTTGAAATCTTGCTCTGAGAATTTTTATTTAATCAATCTTAAACTCTTTATTCTTCCTGTAGTAAATAGAACCGTAGATGGAGTTATTTTTATGGAATCTGAGGGGAAAATGAATCAAGAGAAAGCATACTTTTGCTACTTTGCTGATATTCTGTTTTACTATAGCGGTCAATTCATGTTTTGGATTCCCAATGTAAAGTTATTATCTGAATATGTATCATACGTGTATCTTATTCGTTTTTTATACCATCCATGTTCTCTCATTGCTTGAACTCATGGCAAGTTGCTAACTTTTGTATCAATTATCAAACAGTAAGTTAGACTGTGTAATTAATCTGATGTCATGAGTTTCCTCTGATTTTGTGGCAGGTTAATTGCTTAGCTTTCAATCCCTTCAATGAGTGGGTTGTGGCTACAGGGTCTACCGATAAGACTGTTAAGCTATTTGATCTTCGCAAAATCAGTACTGCACTCCACACCTTTGATAGTCACAAGTAAGAAATTCTCCCTGGTACAGATAGTGTGGCTATATTTTGGAATATTCTTAGTGCTGGGGGTTATGGCTTCTAACTTCCACGATTTCTCTCTTGGATGCAAGAAAGATTACCATAACTTGATTGACATGCTTGCTAACAATTAGGAATTACTATTTTTGTATCTATAACTTAATTTTATGGTGATGTATGGCAGAGAGGAGGTCTTCCAAGTTGGTTGGAATCCAAAGAATGAAACTATCTTAGCTTCTTGTTGTCTTGGTCGACGGCTCATGGTGTGGGATCTTAGCAGGTTTGTCAGCAAATTGCCATTCTCCAATGATAGTTTTTGTTAAGATTTTGCAGCAATAAGTTTGATTACAATCTGGACTTCATTTGCAGGATTGATGAAGAACAGACACCAGAGGATGCTGAAGATGGTCCACCAGAGTTGCTCTTCATTCATGGTGGTCACACAAGTAAAATTTCAGATTTTTCATGGAACCCATGTGAGGACTGGGTTATTGCTAGTGTAGCTGAAGATAACATTCTTCAGATATGGCAGATGGCAGAGAACATTTACCATGATGAAGACGATATTCCTGGAGGAGAGGAATCCACCAAAGCTTCTTAATGTGTCTTCTAACTTTGCAAGAAGACAGAAAAGATTGCCAGATACATTAGGGACCGTGTAGTTGTATTTTTAATTTGTTTCATACTTCGTAGTTGGAAGTGGTTTACTTCTTTGTATGTTAGGTGGTGTTTTGGTTTATTATGCTTGACATTTCTTACAACATAGGCCTTGTATCTAACTTCCGAGTTGCAGAGCTCTATTTGATGACAAAAAAATTTAAGGGGTAAGCTATTCTGCCTTACAAGGATGGAGCCGGTTTGGTTTAGTTAGAGCTTATATAAAAGGGCATGAGCTTTCTATTGAATGTTCTGAATCATGAAATTAAATATGATAAATAAATAGTATTATTGAAATTAACTTCTTCTTCCTTTTTTTTTTTTTTGGTAAAATTGAAATTAACTTCGAAGTTCAAAAAACCAAAGGCTATGCGAAACTTCCATCACATCAGTATTTTCTGGTTCACCGGTTTTGGTTTTGTTTAGGATCCTTGTTCGGTGCTGTGGTGTTTTTTTGTTGTCTCTTTACCACTCTAAAAATATACACAAAATTATTTATTAAAATATATATTAAATATTTTATATATTATATTGAAATATTAAGAGAACAAACACAGCGCTTTCCAAACGAGCATATGTAATAATCTTAAAAAATT